CCCCACTAACACCCTGCAGTGTCCATTATATTTACTACCGGGAAGATTACCCTGCCGTTTGCTCCCCGCAGTGTTACTGTAGACGGGCATCTTCTGGGAGTAACAAGCCTGCACGGATAGCCGGGCGGAAGATGGGAACTGTTCCAGTAATGGTCCGCCTGGCTGTTGTCTGAATCGGCTCCGTTTTGATACGGCTACATCACCTCACTCTTGGGCCAAGTCAACAAAAGCAATGACCATGACAATGAACTCTATTGCATATCATCATATAGCCAGATGACCAATCAGAGAGCTTCGTTTTCCCCATAAACAAGGTCGTTAATATCCCATCATGGACCTGCGGGTCCGAGGCTATAACGGAAGTAGGTCCGGAGTACTAGTGTATGAATTGACGAAATGATGACCGAGTTGACCGAGTTGATCGAGTTGACCGAGTTGACCGAGTTGACCGAGTTGATCGAGTTGACCAGGGTAGTGGACCGAGTTGACCAAGTTGATCAAGTTGACCGAGTTGACCAGGGTAGTGGACCGAGTTGACCGAGTTGATCGAGTTGACCGAGTTGACCAGGGTAGTGGACCGAGTTGACCGAGTTGACCGAGTTGACCGAGTTGTGGACCGAGTTGACCGAGTTGATCGAGTTGACCGAGTTGACCGAGTTGACCAGGGTAGTGGACCGAGTTGACCGAGTTGACCAGGGTAGTGGACCGAGTTGACCGAGTTGACCGAGTTGACCGAGTTGACCAGGGTAGTGGACCGAGTTGACCGAGTTGATCAAGTTGACCGAGTAGTGGACCGAGTTGACCGAGTTGACCGAGTTGACCGAGTTGATCGAGTTGATCGAGTTGACCAGGGTAGTGGACCGAGTTGACCGAGTTGATCGAGTTGACCGAGTTGACCGAGTTGACCAGGGTAGTGGACCGAGTTGACCGAGTTGATCGAGTTGACCGAGTTGACCGAGTTGACCGAGTTGACCAGGGTAGTGGACCGAGTTGACCGAGTTGACCGAGTTGACCGAGTTGACCGAGTTGACCAGGGTAGTTGACCGAGTTGATCGAGTTGACCGAGTTGACCGAGTTGACCGAGTTGACCGAGTTGACCGAGTTGACCGAGTTGATCGAGTTGACCGAGTTGACCGAGTTGACCAGGGTAGTGGACCGAGTTGACCGAGTTGACCAGGGTAGTGGACCGAGTTGACCGAGTTGACCGAGTTGACCGAGTTGATCGAGTTGACCGAGTTGACCGAGTTGACCAGGGTAGTGGACCGAGTTGACCGAGTTGACCGAGTTGATCAGTTTGATCG